CAGGCGCGCCTCCCATTCACAGCCCCCTCCTTTGTGTCCGCCTCTCTTGGTTGAAGTGGGCCACCTGCCGTCAAAGGCCAGCCTTTTCCTCCGAGGGGCTTTTGTCTCCCATTGTTCTGATTGTCTCCTCGGTGGAGCCGCCTCAGTGGCCCCCTGCAGACGGTTTCCCAGGCTTCACAGTTTTTCTTTCTCGGGCACCCGGGGAGAGCAGGTGGTCTTTACCCCGGGAGGAACCCAGTTGCTTGCATAGTTCTGGTGCTGGGAGACTGGAGACCTGGCTGCCAGGCCCTTGGAGCTTGGGTCATTCCTTCCCTGGCAACACTGTCTTAGGCTGCACAACAGAGAGGTGGGATTGTTCACCCCATCAATGTTAAGAGGCTGTGATTCTTTTTGCACTCTTTTTTTTTTTTTTTTTTTGAGACAGAGTCTTGCTCCGTCACCCAGGCTGGAGTACAGTGGCGTCATCTCTGCTCACTGCAACCTCCACCTCCTAGGTTCACGTGATTCTCCTGCCTCAGCCTCCCTAGTAGCTGGGATTACAGGTACGTGCCACCACGCCCGGCTAATGTTTGTAGTTTTAGTAGAGGTGGGGTTTCACCGTGTTACCCAGGCTGGTCTGGAACTCCTGACCTCAAATGATCCGCCCGCCTTGGCCTCCCAAAGTGCTGGGATTACAGACTTGAGCCACCGCGCCTGGCCCCTCTTTTGCACTTTTTAAATCAAAACAGACATCCCATCATCCAGACTTTTCACAGTTGTCAGGGTGTTTTTTTTTAGGTTTAATTTACTCACAGCAAAATGCACAGATCCTAAGTGAACAACTGAATGAATTTTTGTATGTAACAACACTGGTATAACTACCACTCAAATCGAAATATAGAACATTTCAGTCACCCCAGAAAGTTTATAGATTCTGATCAGAAGCACGCAGAGGGTAGGTGATGTGTGGGGATATTTGGCCCCGATAAAATGGCTCATGAATAGCAAAAGTTGGGTAATCACTGATGCAGGGGCCTCGGGTCAGTGGCTCCAGTTCTCTGCTTCCCTTTATAGCAAAATTTCTCAAAAAAATCATCTCTACCAGCGCTGTCCAATAGAAATACAAGGCAAGCTACATAGGGGATTTTACATTTTCTGGAAACCAAGATAAAAAAGTCAAAAAGAAACAGGTGAAATTAATTTTAATATCTTTCATTTAACCCAGTATATCTAAAATATCATTTTAATATGTGATCAGTATAAAAATATTGAGGTATTTTATATTTTTTCATGTTAAATCTGAGTGATTCCTTACTTGCACCTTTAACCTGTGGGGTGCTTTGTTTTATGTTTTTTTTTTTTTTAGAGACAGAGTCTCACTCTGTTGCCCAGGCTGGAGTGCAGTGGTACAGTCATAGTTCACTGCAGCCTCAAACTCCTGGGCTCAACAGTTCTTCCACCTCAGCCTCCCAAGTGGCTGGGACTGCAGGCGTGTGTCACCATGCCTGGCCAATTTGTTTTGAATTTGTATTTGTAGAGGCAGAGTCTGGCTATGTTGCCCAAGCTAGTCTTGAACTCCTATCCTCAAGTGATCCTCCCCCCTGGGCCTCCCAAAAATGCTGGGATTGCAGGCATGAGCCACCACGCCCCAGTGTTTATTTTATACTTAAAGTACATCTCAGATTGTACCAGCTACATTTCAAGTGTTCATTAGCCACATATGTCCAGGGGCCACCCTATTGCACAGCCAAGTCTATACTCACCAGCTCTGGTTCCTCTTCACCCATTTCTCCCACTCAAACCAGATTTCGGCCTTCACTACTTCACCCGATTTCTCTTTGCCGAGGTCATCAGTGGCTTCCACGGTCACTTCCGTGGTCCGTTCTCAACCAACTTGTCCCATCAGCAGCATTTAGCAGAGTGGATCACTCCTTTCTTCTAGAAACACCCTTCATTTGACTTCTGGGATTCTTCTGTGAAGTGGTTTTCCTGTTACTTCACTGTCTGCTACTTCTCAGCCTCCTTTGCTGGTTCCTCATCTTTCCTCAAAACTTTTTTTTTTTTCTTTTTTTGAGACAGTCTTGCTCTGTCGCCCAGACTGGAGTGCAGTGGTACGATCTCGGCTCACTGCAACCTCTGCCTCCCAGGTTCAAACGATTCTCCTGCCTCAGCCTCCTGAGTAGCTGGGATTACAAGCGTGCGCCACCATGCCCAGCTAATTTTTGTATTTTTAGTAGAGATAGGGTTTCGCCATGTTGGCCAGGCTGGTCTTGAACTCCTGGCCTCAAGTGATTGACCTGCTTTGGCCTCCCAAAGTGCTAGGATTCCAGGCGTGAGCCACTGCACCTGGCCCTCTTCTAAACTTTAAATATAGGGTTTCCGGGGGATCAATCCCTGGACTTTACTCTTCCCACATTCTTCCTTATCAATCTAACTAGTCTTTTGACTTTAAAGACCGACTGTCTAAATGGTGACAACTACCAAACCAAACCAGCTGTCCAGACCTCTCCCCTGAACTCAGGGGACTCTCTCCTGAACTAGGACCTGTACAGCCACGTGCCTACTCAGCTTCCTCACTTGCATCTTTCATAGGTACCTTACACTCAACGTTCAAACCTAAACTCTTAATATTCCCCCAGCCCCCAAAGCTGCTAAGTGGCAACTCCATCCTCACACCGTCCATCCTCAGGCCAAAAACGCGGGAGTCATTCTTGACTTGTCTCCAATCCCTACATCCTGTGTATCAGCAAATGGCTTCTGCCCTAAGAATGTATTAGAGTTTGACCATTTCTTAGAGTGATTTTCAACATAGGTCACAGCATGTCATTCTTCTGCTTAAACTCCACCATGGCTTTCATCTCACCAAGTGTGGGATCCAAATCCTTACTGTGACCTTGTTAACGAACATTTATGGGAGGCCGCTGTTTCAAACTGAGCTCTTGCACTAGGCGGGCCCCAACAAACCAGACCCAACCAGAATAGAGTCACTCGTGACCTGCTAAGTGCCATATCATCAAACAGAACGTTAAATGGTCCAGTTTTCCAAAATATGAGATTCACAGCAGCCAATCAGAAGGGGTCCAGTTGGGCTAGGCACAGTGGCTCATGCCTGTAATCCCAGCACTTTGGGAGGCTGAGGCAGGTGGATCGCCTGAGGTCAGGAGTTCGAGACCAGGCTGGCCAATGTGGTGAAACCCTGTCTCTACTAAAAATACAAAAATTAGCCAGGCTTGGTGGCAGGCGTCTATAATCCCAGCTACTCGGGAGGCTGAAGTAGGAGAATCGCTTGAACTCAGGACGGGGAGGTTGCAGTGAACTTAGATCATGCCACCACACTCCAGCCTGGGCGACAGAGCGAGACTCTGTCTCAAAAAAAAAAAAAAAAAAAAAAAGAAGGGGCCCAGTCTACCTTAGCTTGCGTAATCAGGAAGTCCCCTCTGCTTTAACCCCAGAAGGAAGGTAACTTTGAAATGACCAGTCTGCTTTTCATGTCCTGTTTCTGCTTCTTCAGCCCCTTTTTGCCTGTAAGGCTCACTCCCACTCAGCTTGTCAGAGCCCCCCGCAGGATGCTGCCCAGTTCATGAACTGCTCACAAAAGCCAATTCAATCTTTAAAACTCTATTTGGGTCAGGGGTGGTGGCTCACACCTGTAATCCCAGCTACTTGGGAAGCTGAGGCAGGAGAATCACTTGAACCCTGGTGGTGGAGGTTGCAGTGAGCCAAGATCATGCCAGAGCACTCCAGCCTGGGCGACAGAGTGAGACTCCGTCTCAAAACAAAACAAAACAAAACAAAACAGAAAAAAACCCAGAAGACTCAATTTGTTACTTTTTTTGTTTTGTTTTTTAACACTTCCAAGTGTCCCCATGAGCTGGCCTCCTGCTCCTCCAGGACTTTATTCTCTCCACTGACATGCTTGCTCTGGCCCAGGTAGCCACATTGACCCCCTTGCTAGTCCTCCTTCCACACTCCTGCCTCTAAGCCTTTGTTGAGTTTTTACTCTGCCTGGAATGTTCTTTACTCTGATATTTACAAAGCCAATTCCCTCTTTTCCTCAGGTCTTTACTCAAATGTCACATCAGTGAAGCCTTCACATATACACAGTGTAGATCAAATTATACCCCCAGCACTCCCTGGCCCTTTAAAGCTTTATCCTTTGCACTTGCCAACATCTGACATATTCTATATTGACTTGTGTTTATTATTCTCTTCCCCACCACACACACATTGGAATATAAGCTCTATAAGGTCAGGGACCTTGTTCATGACTATCTCTCCAGTGCCCAGAACAGTACCTGGCACAAAGTGGGTGTTCTATAAATGTTTGTTGAATGAAGGCCGGGCGCGGTGGCTCATGCCTGTAATCCCAACACTTTGGGAGGCCGAGGCGGGCAGATCACCTGAGGTTGGGAGTTTGAGACCAGCCTGACCAACATGCAGAAACCCCGTCTCTACTGAAAATACAAAATTAGCTGGGCGTGGTGGCACATGCCTGTAATCCCAGCTACTCGGGAGGCTGAGGCAGGAGAATCGCCTGAACCCAGGAGGCAGAGGTTGCAGTGAGCTGAGATCATGCGATTGCACTCCAGCCTGAGCAACAAGAGTGAAACTCCATCTCAAAAAAAAAAAAAAAAGTTTGTTGAATGAATAAATGGTGTTGCTTATAGAAGAGCAAGTCACACATGGGTGAAGGATGACTGTGATCGAAGTTAGTTGAATGTGGTTAAAAGCTGGTACTTGCCTGGATTTGAATCCCAGCTTTCTCATTTGCCAGGTGTGACTGTGGGCAATTTGGTTACACTTTCTGTGCCTCAGTTCTTTGTCTGTGAAAGGAGGAGGATGCCAATACCCTCCATCAGCCTGTGTAAGGAGCATATAAGGTTCTATGCACGAAGCTGCCTGCTTTGCACTCTGCGTGCTTGGTAAATGTTAGCTTTAAACAAAATTATACCTTGTAATACCACTTTGGGAAATGTAACTATATAAAACACAGAAAAAATAAGGCTGAAGAGAAAAGAACATTTAAATGCACACCGATATGGAGGAATTTTATTGTATTTACAAAGGAAAAAGTAGGTCAGAAATGAAAGAGGATTAACTGGATCCAGTTGCATTTTGGCTACAGGTAGCCCAGGTCACAGGAGGAATCTTCATCCCTGGGAGTTCCTGCTACAGAAAGAAAGATCAAGCTCAATCCGGGGAATTGAAGTGAAGGTGGCTAGAATGGGATGCATGGAACCAGGGCTATGGGTGCTCCCATGGCAGGAGCTGGCCTTTCGGATTCCAAAAGAGGCTGTGTGGGGTAGAGGGAAGGATGCGCATGCATGCCAGCGAGGTGAGTCCCAGGCTTAGCCCCTGCTCTCTGCTCTGCCAGCCAACTCCCACCAAGACCCTGGGCCAGTCACTTCCCCTTGAAGAAGCTGCCTCTAATCCCCAGACAGGCTCAGCGTTCTCCCAGCCTCACCATCACCACTTCCCAGCGTCTCTTCCCACTCATCACAATGAAGTAATTGACTGTACAAGAACGTATCTAGTTCCTTGCTGCCTCGGTGCGTTATGAATTCCATGAAAGCAGGGGTCGCTGCCGTCCTGTACCCTGCTATGCCTCCGGTCCAGAGCGTGGCATGTCACAGTCACTGGATGGTCTTTACAGGGGTGGGAGGATGGCTAAACCCGAGCCTCAGTTTCCTTACAGGGCCGTTACATGGACACAATGTATGATGGGTGCAAAAGTGAGCCATCTGTCACATGGCTCTCCTCTGCACTCTAAAGCAGGAACTTATTCCTGCTCACCAGTGATATCCTGGTATTTGCAGCAGTCCAGCTGGAGGGGGAACAATGGCTGTAGCAGCCTTCGGGACCCTTCCTGCCAGCTCTGCGGGCTCTATGACTTCAATCTCTGTGAAGCCTCTGGCTTTTAACTGGCAGGAACAAAGCCTGCATTCTTAGGATTAGCCCTCCCTGGAGCCATCCACCCTACCGGGGCCTGATGAGAGCCATAGCAGGTGAACAATTACCTAATCCCAGCCTGCGAGGCACAGAGGAGGCATTCTTCCTAGAGACATTATTTTTGAACTCTAGTCTTGCGGACCCTAGAGATGGTAAGAGCTAACCCCTCCTTTCACAGAGTCGAAACTAAGAAGCGTGTTGCTGTGCCGCTAGTTGCAGAACCAGGCCTGGGGTCCAGGCGTTCTTCCCGCCTCCCAGCCTGGTTGTCGCCCCTCCTGTCATCTGCCGTAGGCCTGGTGCTGCTTGTAGATGGTGAAATCTCTGGGTTGGTGGTGTCTAATCAGGTTGGGAAGAAGGGGAGAGAGGCCACGGAGAGCTCTGCTGGAAACTGGATTTGCTTAATAGGTTGGACCAGAAGTGCCCAGCAGAGCCACACTGGGACCTGCTTGTGCTCGCAGTTCAATCAGGCTCTAGGCCGGCTGTGGTGGCTCATACCTGTAATCCCAGCACTTTGGGAGGCCAAGGCAGGTGGATCACCTGAGGTCAGGAGTTCGAGACCAGCCTGGCCAGCATGGTGAAACCCCATCTCTACTAAAAGTACAAAGAGTTAGCCGGGTGTGGTGGCAGGTGCCTGTAATCCCAGCACTTTGGGAGGCCGAGGAGGGCGGATCACCTGAGGTCAGGAGTTCACTACTAAAAGTACAAAAATCAACTGGGCATGGTGGCAGGCAGGCACCTAATCCCAGTTACTCGAGAGGCTGAGAATCACTTGAACCCTGGAGGCGGAGGTTGTAGTGAGTTGAGATCACGCCACTGCACTCCAGCCCGGGTGATGAGAGTGAAACTGCATCTCAACAACAACAACAACAACAACAACAACAACAAATCAGGTTCTAAACCCCAGCAGAGTTTCTCCAAACAGCCACGACATTTTTGTGAAACTTTGCCCATGAAGTGGGGCTTTGTGCAAAGAACAGGTCTTGGGCCTGCCAGTCCCTGACTTGGGGCCAGCTGCCACCCCCTCTTTGCCTCACTTTTCCTCCTCTGTAAAATGAGGAAACTCATTTCCGATCTCCCCTGACTCCCAGGAGAAACATGAGGGCCAGTGAGCTGGGGAACGACAGTCATCACATCTCTCGTCTGCTGATCATGTGTCTGTGCACACTCATCTACCACAGTGTGTGGGAGGGCTGGTCTGTCTTTGGCTTTATAGTTTTTTGAACTTGGCAAGGGATCCAGAGCATGCCTGTCAGTTCACCTGCAGCCAAATCCTTGGGGACACCTGTTAAAATTCAGATTTCTGGGTCGTATCCCGGAACCATTCAGTGAGTGACATTTTTGGGCATGGACACTGAGCCTGGCCTCTGGCTCCACACTGGGATACAGCTGTGGATAAGATGCGGTCTCCATCAGACACTTCCCACCCGTCACGTCTAAAGAACTCTCCTAGTATTGATTGATTGATTTAGATGGGATCTGACTATATTGGGCAAGCTGGTCTCAAACTCCTGGCCTCAAGTGGTTCTTCCCCATCAGCCTCCCAAAGTGCTGGGATTACAGGCATGAGCCACTGCACCTAGGCACTTTCCTAGTTCTTTTTTTTTTTTTTTTTTTAGACAGAGTCTTACTTTGTTGCCCAGGCTGGAGTGCAATGGCGCCATCTCAGCTCACTGACACCTCCGCCTCCCAGCTTCAAGCGATTCTCCTGCCTCAGCCTCCCAAGTGGCTGGGATTACAGGCATGAGCCACTACGCCTGGCTAATTTTTGTATTTTTAGTAAAGACAAGGTTTCGCCATGTTGGCCAGGTTGGTGTCGAACTCCTGACCTCAGATGATCCACCCACCTCGGCCTCACAAAGTGTTGGGATTACAGGCATGAGCCACCATGCCCAGCCATTCTCCTAGTTCTTAATGTCTGTCAGGAGGGTCCTTGTTCTTGGTTTGTTTGGCAGAGCCCCATACCTTCAGAGAGGAGTGGATTTTTTCCTTTTCCCAGCAAACCATGGGGTAGGAAGCCCTGAAGTCCTTAGAAGCACACATGCACACACACCCATACCTGTGCTTCTGCAGCAGGGCCACCAGGATGCTCTCCAATTCCATTTGCTTTTGTTCTGCCCACACGCTGTCCACCTGACGGCCAAGCCGTGCCGTTGCTCCTCGCTCTTCGTTTCTCTCTCTATGTGGTTAGAAAAAGAGAACTAGTTGCTATTTGGGTAGGATGTGGAGAGGCAGAGGTATATCCCTACGCCTATTTCAATATCTGGTGTGGACTCTTCTACCCAACTGAATTAGATTCAGCCACACTTAGGGAGGCAGTACATATAGTAGTGAAGAGTACAGTAGTACAAATGTACACAGTTGCAAAACGTCTCCCCACAGATTACTAATTATAGAGGGAAAAATAACTTTATAGAGGAGAAACCTGGCAGACACCATGTTAACCAACTGATCGAAGTTACTGTCTACCAATAATCCACCAATAATGGCACAAGTTGCCATCCTGTGCCTCCTGATACCAGGCACTGAGAAGGACACAACATTACTTCTGTGAGTGCATCACCTGATTCCTCTAATCATCATTAGAGGAATGCATCCTCTAATCATGGGGATATGTCTGGCAAATTCAACATGAGAGACATTCTATAAATCATTAGCCTTTACTAATCAAAACTGTCAATGTCATGAAAGACCGAGGAACAATTCCAGATTAAAAGAAACTGAAGAGACATGACAACTAAATGGTATCCATGATCCCAGATTGGGTCCCAGATCAGAAAAAGAAATAATTGTCATAAAGGACATTTTGGGACAACTGGTAAAATTTGAAAATGGATTATAACTGACAATTATATTATGATTATGTAAGGAGATGTCCTTTGGTTAGGTATTAGGAGACACATACAGAAGTACCTAAAGGTAGAGGGTCATGATGACCGCAATTTACTCTCAAATGGTTCAGCAAAAATGATATCAACACTTAATGTGCATATGTGTTTCTGTGGTATGTATATCTAGCTATAGATATAGAGTAAGCAAATGTGATAAAATGTTAGGAATTGGAAGGGTATATGGAAGTCCATTGTGCTTTTGTTGCAACTTTTTTGTAAGTTTGAGATTTTTTTCAAAGTAAAAACTAAAAAACATACCGGCTATAGAGTCAGGCAGTTTTGCTCCAAACTCTGCCACTCTTTGTGTGTCCTTTAAGAGCTATTAACCCTGGGCCAGACACAATGGCTCATGCCTGTAATCCCAGCATGTTGGGAGGCTGAGGCGGGCAGATCACGAGGTCAGGAGATTGAGACTGTCCTGGTTAACATGGTGAAACCTTGTCTCTACTAAAATATACAAAAATTAGCCAGGTGTGGTGGCGGGCACCTGTAGTCCCAGCTACTCGGGAGGCTGAGGCAGGAGAATGGTGTGAACCCGGGAGGCAGAGCTTGCAGTGAGTTGAGATTGTGCCACTGCACTCCAGCCTCGGGGACAGAGCGAGACTCCGTCTCAAAAAAAAAAAAAAAAAAAAAAAAAAGCTATTACCCCTGTATAATGGGGATAAGGGTTGTTATGAAGATTAAAGAAGAAACTAAAAGCTGGGCAAGGTGGCTTACAACTATAATCCCAATGCTTTGGGAGGCCAAGGTGGGAGGATCGCTTGAGGCCAGGAGTTCGAGACCAGCCTGGACAACATAGTGAGACGCCATCTCTACAAAAAATAAAATTGTCGGTTGTGGTGGTGCATACTGGTAGTCCCAGCTACTTGGGAGGCTAAGATGGGAGGATCACTTGAGTCCAGGCATTTGAGTTTACAATGAGGCATGATCATTCCACTGCACTCCAGCCTGGGCAACAGAATGAGACCCTGTCTCTAAAAAAAAGAAAGCAAGAAACTAAGAATAATAGTAGCTGACACTACCAAGGGCATCCTGTGTGCCCAGCACTGTGCCAAGTGTCTGTAAATGTCCCAGGGCAGAGCCTTTGTTTTTGGCATGGAGTCATGATTAAATAGTAACTACCACCAGTGTGGTTACTGTCAGAGCCTAGTCGGAAGAGGCACATGGTAGGTGTGGAGGTAAGCTGAGGTTTAACGCTGGAACCCTTTTGCTATGAGAAGTCCAGAAATGACACTTGCTGTGCCAAGGAAGAGATCTGACTTGGTCCCTGGTCTCCTGTAGGGAACGAGATCCCGGAGACTCTGCTGCAGAGTATGGGAAGAAATCACTAGAACTCCTGCTTACCCCTGCTGCCTGCTCATGATGTCTTGGAGCAGCTTGCGGGCGGACAGCTGGCCCAGCACCTTCCGGTAGCTGTTGGTGAAGATGGCATCTGCATACCGCCGCATCCTGTGCAGAAGGAGTCAGGGGTCAGAGGGCGGGGTGGAGGCCAGGAGAGGGGACAGTCACGGCCGCATTCACCATGTCTCTGCAAGATCCTTCTGTTGCCATCTGTCCCACTCACCCCAAGAGAGACTCAGACCCCTCTGAGTGACCTCTGTGAAGCCGTGTCTGCCTCCTCTGCAAGGACGGGCAGTGGGTGCTGCCTGGAGACATAGCCGGGGCCCAGCTGATGGGCTGAGTCTGCATTCACTAATGCCTGCCCCATGGCAGGGATGGCTTGGGAGCGGTGGGAACTTTCCCCAGGGGCTGCTTACCTGAGAGTCAAAGGGGGAGGTGGGGAGCAGTGGGAGCTGCTACTGAGGGTGAGGATCACAAAGAAGAACACCCAGAGTGGCATCCTTCACCCGGGGCTGGCACCTGCAGAGTGACAGGAGAGGAAGGTCAGGTGTAGCCACAGCCATTGGGATGGCCTTTACTGGCCCAGCCCTGGGCTTAACTCCATGGCAAGCCTTGGTCCTTGATTTTTGGAAACTGTGGGATGGGAAAAAGAATTCGGACTCTGGAAGTCAGACAGACCCGGGTTCACATTCTGCCTCTGCCAGCCACCCGCTCTGACTTCACTTTCTTCATCTGTAGAATGGGTGTGATGGAGCTACCCTGCCAACCACATAGGGTTGAACTGAAAACCAGTGACGGTAGAGAAATTTCCCCTTGCCATAAGGCATTAGAAGTGGGATTTGGGGCCAGGCACGGTGGCTCATGCCTGTAATCCCAGCACTTTGGGAGGCTGAGGTGGGCGGATCACCTGAGGCCAGGAGTTTGAGACCAGCCTGGCCAACCTGGTGAAACCCTGTCTCTACTAAAATTACAAAAATAAGACAGGAGTGGTGTCATGTGCCTGTAATCCCAGCTACTCGGGAGGCTGAGGCATGAGAATCCCTTGAACCCGGGAGGCGCAGGTTGCAGCGAGCCAAGATCATGCCATGCACTCCACGCTGGGTGACAAAGTGAGACCCTGTTTCAAAAAAATAAAATAAAATAAAATAAATAAAATGGGATCCCTTAGCAAGGAATAGGGAAGGTCAAAGAACCTTCTCTCAATGCCCCCTCATTCAACCCCATCCAGTGTGGCAGTGACGGCAGGCAGCAAGGGCAACTGCTCTGCTCTGAGTCAGACAAACTGGAAATTCAAATCCTAGCTCTGCTGTCATTAGCTGCGTGTCCCAGGACAAGTGGCTTCCCCTCTCTGAGCCTTATTTTCCCTGGCCATAAAACCGAGATGGTAACTAGACCTCCTACTTTGGCTCCTGTAAGGATCTGGTGAGGTGAGGTGCCTGAACCAATAGGGAATTCTCTGGAAACCTTTGCTGTGGCTACCTAAGACTGACCCTCTGAGAGGGCAGGCTCCTCCTGTTTTAATTTTGTTCGGAGTTGGAGAAAGGGGAGAGGGGCTCTAAGTCTTGCTCCAGATGCTTAGATGTCGCTGAAGGGTTTTAGTCCTGGAAGAGACCGAAGAGCCGGGGGAGCCAGCGTGGCACAGTCGTCCCATAGGTCCTGTAACTACCCTTAATTGGGGCCTGCGGACACCATGCTCTGCAATTAGGGGAAGAACAGCCAGCAGGGGACAGAGCCCGCCCCTGCGCAAGTGCCACTGTGTCGGCCCAGACCTGCCTGAGCGTGGAAACACGGCTGCCATCGGGGGACTTGGCCCCCTAGGAATACGGTCCTCCCATCTCCATGGGTTTCTCCCTCTCAGCAGGATGTCTCCTCCATGGGGGTATAGATCCATCCAGGGGCCCAGCCGGCCCCGGAAATGGCCAGCACCCCCGCCTTTCCCACGATCTCCCGACATAGCTTCCTTCCCTCCCGCTCCTGGGTCCTGCTGAGGAGTTCTGGCAGGCAGGGCCAGCGCTGGCAGAACCCAGCTTGTTCTCCTGGCCCTCTCAGGGTATCAGCCTCCTTTCCGAAGGCACTGAAATCTCCTCTAACCCAGGGATGCCTTGGGCCCCCAGGCAGCACTCACAGGGACTGCTCATTGCAGCCTGAGACCCTGTGCCTGCAAAGCTGGAGGGAGCAGCAGCCCAGGCCTCAGCGGTCAGTCCCTCCCTTCCTGACACAAGCATCCCCACTCCCCTACCCCGCCCCGATCGCACACTGGCCGTCCTCCACTTCCTGCTCTGCTCGAGTGAGCACTGGCTGCCAGCGAATGACAGGGAGCTCATACTCCCACGCCCTGGGGCTTATTTCCAAGTGGTTCTTTATTTATTTATTTTGATACAGGGTCTCACTCTGTGGCCCAGGCTGAGATAGAGTGGTGGAATCATGGCCTCAAACTCCTGGCCTCAAGCAATCCTCCTGCCTCAGCCCCCTGAGTAGCTGGGACTGCAGGCATGTGCCATCATGCCCAGCTAATTTTGAAATTTTCTGTAAAGATAAAGTCTCACTATATTGCCGAGGCTGGTTTCAAACCCCCAGGCTTAAGCAGTCCCCCCGTCTCAGCCTCCCAAAGAGTTGGGATTACAGGCATGAGCCACCATGCCCGGCCCAGGCAGTTCTTATTGTTAGGAAGTTTGTCTCATCATGTCGAGCCCAAATCTCCTTCTCCTGCAAATATTTGTTAAGCCTCTACTGTTCCGGTAAGGACTGGGGCTAGAGAAAAGATGAGAACATGGGATCTTCGGCCTGCTGGGCCAGAGCCTCTGCACCTGCAACCAAACGACCAGCCCTTTAGATATGTCTCGCATCTGACTTAAGCCTTTGTTCCTCAGACCAAGGCTCGGCAGCTTTCCATCCTCCTCATCGCACCATACCATGTCTGGTCCCCTTCTCCCCACCCGGTCCAGGCTGCCTCTCCAGAAGTGGAATTTCCTAAGCTGGGAGATCTTTGGACACAAGCAGGGCCCCTTGACAGAAACCACTGCCTTTCCTGTCTCTCAGCTGCAGCCTGGCTTTCTTGCCTTCTTTGCTGCTGATGTTTAAAGATTCAGGCAGATCTGGGTCCCCAATCACCTCCCTCCCCTGTTCAGAAGCCCTTGGCTCCCCACTCCCTCCAGAATAAAGCTCAAACCCCTTGTCTTGACTTAAGCTTTCCCTCTGCCTCCTGAGCTCCTGCCCCTTCTCCCAAGGACTGGCACAAGTGATTCCCAGCCCCTGTGCCCTACTGGGCTCTACAACCCACCCTTGCACTCTCCCTCTGGAGCAGGCATCCCCATACTCCTCTTAACAGCTGAGGAAAAGAGCCCAGAGGGGACAAGGACCTTTTCCATGGTCCTCCATCAAATTAGTTTTGGAGTGGGCACTTCAGAATGGGCCTCCCCATTCCCAGGCCAGCAGACTTCCTCCTGCTCCATGCAGCAGCTTCCCAGGTACAATGCTCTATTCACAGCATTCCCCGTTCACAGGGGGCCTCAGCCTCCATCACCCGCACGTGGGAAAGGGTCTGAAAAAAAGGAAAACTTCTTGCTCTTTGTTGTTGGGCCTCTGGGGAAGAAAGAATGGAGACAGACAGGAACACCTGCTTGACTGGCCCCTCCCTATGCACACCCGGTAGTTTCAAGGAGTTGAAAATAACCTTATAGAAGGGCAGACTTTGATGGCGAGGGCAAGTCACAGTAAACATGATAATACCCCGCTCATTCAAGATAAGGCTCAGTAACTGCACAAGCTAACCAAGGGGCTCAACATTTGCCACAAATCCTGTGCCCCAGGCATAGGTCAAGACACCATGGCAACCTCTGAGCTATGAGAACCTAATCCATGGGTTTGCAGATCCCACTGGATGAAAATGGGAAACAACAAGAATTACCCAGTGTAGGGTAAGATAAGAATAGAGGTTATGTCACTAAGGATAAAAAAGCTCCAGCCTGAGCAACATAGCGAGACCCCATCTCTACAAAAAATAAAATAAAACAAATTATCTAGGCATGGTGGCACATGCCTGTAGTCCCAGCTACTCTGGAGGCTGATATGGGAGGATTGCTTGAGCATAAGAGGTTAAGTCTGCAGTGATCCATGATAGTGTCACTGCACTGTAGCCTAAGTGCCAGAGCAAGACCTTATCTCAAAGAATAAAATAAAATAGCTGTCAACAGACACATTCCACATGACAACTTAAGGAGTCAAAATTCACCGAATGAAGTGTAGCCGAGCCCAACAGCGTTGCTGACAACTCTGATGACTGAAGGCACTCCAGAGTTTATAATCTATCATGATCATTGGTTAGCTTCCTGCAGTGCTTACTGATTCTGTGAATAGATGTACTTGAGACTGCCTGGATTCAGGATAAACAGGCACTTAATCTACATCCATTGGCACCTTTTGCCAGCCTTCATGTCAGGAATGTCAGGAGAATTCTGCAGATTCACCTGCAGCTAACGACAGAGGTCAGGTCCCAAGCACCCAAATTCGCAAGGCCATTTTTGAATACCCAGGGAAAGAACATCTTTAACTTTCCTTGAACATTCCCCTTTGAAATTTGAGCACCCCAAAGCATCGACATCCTGATCTGGTTTATAAACTCTTTCACCGACAGCACTCTAAGTTAAAAGAAATCTAAGTTTTTAATGAGGAAGCATCTTGAACTGTCATTCAAAAGAGTGATACTCCACCTCTTTCCAGAAGGGGTTTGAGGCGGTCTATGGTGAAAGACACAAATACTTCAGGATCATTAAAGCAAGGATCAGGAGACAGGCGTGGGGTAGCGGAGGACTCCAAGGGCAGATAATCGTGTCTAAAACCTGGAGTAAAGAGTGCGGCTGCAATTGAGCAAGAAAGCAAAATGTTATCAATTTCCCAGCAATTACATTGAATCAGTTCTGAGTGATCAATGAGCAGTATTGATTTGCACAGCCACTTGGCTCATCTCTGATCCATGGCAGAATCCCATCGCTGACAGGAAAATCAAGCCAACTCACATTTGCCCCCGAAGCCTGCCCACGCACCCTTGAAGGAGCACTGAGACCTCAACGCCTGCGACAGACGCCTGGAGCCAGTTCGCCACGCGCCCAAGTTAAGAGAAGCCCCAAACAGCACCATCAAAGCCTATTCCAGAGCCTCTATTGAGGGGTGGTTTTATCCAGAGACAGGCTCAGATGTACTCACCAATCCATGGGTAAAGAGGATGGTGGTGGGCCTCTTGGACTCAGTGTTTCTGAGTTGGTGAGAAGGTTAACTTTTCTTGCCCCCAACCAGCCCAGCCCCCAAGGGCCACCCCTCTCACCTGATGCGGCAGATCTCCCCCTGCTCCGAGGCACTGCTCCAGTCCACGGGCCCTGAGCTGGGTGTTGGCTCCGGCAGCCGCCTGGCGTCCCCATCATTTATCCCTTCATTTTCCTAAGCGTTGTCAGCGTCAGAGAATCAATTACCCACAAGTCAACCAAAGGACTGTTTTTAGCATCACATCACACTGACAAACCCTAATAGGTGAAAGAGGTTTGGCCCCTTGCAAATTAAGACTCCTGGTAAAGTCTCCCTTTACCTTTGACAGGGTGGACAGAGTACAAAGTTGTAACATCATTCCAAGAGGATATAGAGGATATATACTGCCATAATAATGATCGGAGAACTCAGCTGGGCGCGGTGGCTCACACCTGCCATCCTAGCACTTTGGGAGGCTGAGGCGGGTGGATTGCCTGAGCTCAGAAGTTTGAGACCAACCTAAGCAACATAATGAGACCCCGTCTCTACAAAAAATTTTAAAATTAGCTGGGCGTGGTGGCACACGGCTGTAGTCCCGCCTACTCAGGTGGCTGAGGCAGGAGTGTCACCTGAGCCTGGGAGGCGGAGGTTGCAGTGAGCCAAGACCACACTACTGCACTCCAGCCTGGGTGACAGAGCAAGACTCTATCTCAAAAAATACATTTTTTTAAAAAAGAAAAAATATGTGTTAAAAATAATTGGAATACTCATAAGACTGAAACACCAAGAGTTTATTGATTCCCCAAGATAAATGTGCCTTTTTAAAAGTTCCTATAATTTAGTTTTGTCCCTGTGTAATTTTATTTCACTTTTGGGAAGACACATTACGAATAAACGTTATCCTCTCCTTAGTGGGGCATTTGTTCACTATCTCCCTTGTCGTCCAATTATCAGAATTCTGCACTATTTGATTTACACCTGCTTGGTCACAGGCTGATTTCAACAGCTCACCTGGGAGCATCCGTCGTCATTTGTCAAGGCAGCCAGACATTGGCAGTTGCCTCAGAGAAGTGTGAAGTGAGAGGGAAGAGATGGCAAACTGTGGGAGAGTTGTGTTTCCAGATTTTCCTAGCCTATAGCTAAGAAATGCTCACGAATGACATAAAAGCATAGGAGGCAGAAGCTCTGGTTTCCCAGGCGGCTATCATGGAGGCGTGGAAAGAGCTCCAAGCCTCGAGTCTAGGGACCTGCTACCTCTTCCAAGCCTGTCAATCATGACCTCTATGACCCTTAGGAAGTTACTTCTACCTGGCTGGGCGTGGTGGCTCACACCTGTAATCCCAGTGCTTTGGGAGCCTGAGGTGGGTGGATCACGAAGTCAGGGGTTCGAGACCAGCCTGGCCAACATGGTGAAACCCCGTCTCTACTAAAAATGCAAAAATTAGCTGGGTGTGGTGGTGGATGCCTGTAATCCCAGCTACTCAGGAGTCTGAGGCAGGAGAATTGCTTGAACCCAGGAGATGAAGGTTGCAGTGAGCCGATATCGTACCACTACACTCCAACCTGGGCGACAGAGCAAGACTCTGTCTCAAAAAAAAAAAAAAAAAAAAAGGAAGCTACTTCTACTCTCCAGGCCTTAGTTTCTGTCTGGAACCTTGAGAGTTGACATAGAACAGCAACTTCCAAACTTTTTTTTTTGAGAGGGAGTCTCTCTTTGTCGCCCAGGACGGAGTGCAGTGGCATAATCTCGACTCGCTGCAACCTCCACCTCCCAGGTTCAAGTGATTCTCCTGCCTCAGCCTCCAGAGTAGCCGGGATTAGCAGCGCATACCACCACGCCTGGCTAAGTTTTGTATTTTAGTAGAGATGGGATTTTGCCATGTTGGCCAGGCTGGTCTCGAACTTCTGACCTCAGGTGATCCACCCGCCTTGGCCTCCCAAAGTACTGGGATGACAGGTGTAAGCCACTGCACCTAGCCCAAACTTTTTTTAAAAAGTGGCAAAACTCTTTCTTTGGAAACCTACAGAAACAGGTTTTTAATATGGGGCTACTGTGGTTGAAGAGGGGGAAGGGGAGTGGAGACCACCTTGCCTACCCCTGAGGTACCTCAATGGGTCACAATTACAAGCCAGTAGTTTCCAAGAGTCCCCTTAGCAACAACACTATTTTGTGTTTCTGCTTCTTATCCTGCACTGAGCCATGTTCTTGGCATCTAGCAAATACGGGATGTTTCTCATAGAAGCAAGGCTTGAGTGGTATGTCACCTTGCTGGCCAGGATATGAAGTGGTCAGGTCAGGCCAGATCCCCAAGGATTAAAAATGGGCTGATAGTGGTCGGGTGCAGTGGCTCATGCCTGTAATCCCAGCACTTTGGGAGGCCGAGGCGGGCGGACTGCCTGAGCTCAGGAGTTCGAGACCACGCTGGGCAACATGGTGAAACCCCATCTCTACTAAAATACAAAAAAATTAGCTGGGCGTGGTGGCACGTGCCTGTAATCCCAGCTACTGGGGAGGCTGAGGCACAAGAATCGCTTAAGCCCCAGAGGCAGAGGTTGCATGAGCCAAGATGGTGCCACTGCACTTCAGCTTGGATGACAGAGTGAGACTGTCTCAAAAAAAAGTAAAGATAAAAGGCAGGGCATGGTGGTTCATGTCTGTAATCCCAGCACCTTGGGAGGCCGAGGCGGGCGGATCACGAGGTCAGGAGATCAAGATCATCCTGGCTAACATGGTGAAACCCCATCTCTACTAAAAATACAAAAGAATTAGCACGGTGGCAGACGCCTGTAGTCCCAGCTACTTGGGAGGCTGAGGCAGGAGAATGGCGTGAACCCGGGAGGCGGAGCTTGCAGTGAGCCGAGATCGCGCCACTGCACTCCAGCCTGTGTGACAGAGCGAGACTCTGTCTCAAAAAATAATAAATAAAGAAATAGGCTGATAGCTTTAAATTAATTATTATTGTTATTTTATTTGTTTAATTTTTTGGAGACAGGGTCTCGCTCAGGCTAGAGTGCAGTGGCGAGATCTCAGCTCACTGCAGCCTTGACCTCCTGGGCTCAAGCAATCCCCAACCTCAGCCTCCTGAGTACCTGGGACTGCAGTTGCATGCCACCATGCCCAGCTAAGTTTGTTTTAGTAGAGATGAGGTCTCACTATGTTGCCCTGGCCAAAAATTAAATACTATTTAAAAAAAAAAAAAGTGCAGGTCACAGCATCAGGGAGCAGACGAAAAAGTTGGCAGACCCAGGGCTATGGGCTCTCACACAGTCAGGAAGTGTGGGGTGACTCCTGGAAATGCAAAGTGTGGACCATGCAAAGCTGGGCACCCAGAGTGGATGCTGGGACAGGGCACAGATGCAGGTTACACGAAGTTGGCTGGAGAAGCCATGGGACTCAGAATCCAGCCTTGGTTGAAACTGTGTGCCAGGCATTGTGCTACAGACTTCATGCCCTATCTCAGTTTTCTTATCTGTAAAATGGGAGTGATAGAGCTCAACTTATGAGTCTGTTGGGTGAAGATTATCGTGACATTGCATAAGGGGCAGACCTGGCAGAGGACAGACCTCACAGTTTAGCTTTGACAATTGCTGTTCTTGTCACTGCGGTAAATGAGGAAACAGGCATAGAAGGTTACATGCTCAGCCACAGCCACAGAGCTAGTCAGTAACTGGAAGAGCTATGAGTCAAACATGTTTTCTGACTTCCTTGCAGCCCCAGCTACTCGGGAGGCTGAGGCAGGAGGATCACTTGAGCCCAGGAGTTGGAGGCCTCAGTGAGCTATGTTCATGCCACCATACTCCAGCCTGGGCAATGGAGTGACACCCTGTCTCTATTGAAAAAAAAAAGGAAAAAAAAAAGTTTTCTGATTTCCGATTTTTTTTTGCCCCACCCTATGGCCCTTCCTGGGCCTACCAGTTCTAAATTTTTTTTTTTTTTAAAAAAAGAACTTTTAACAGTTTGGCTGGGCACGGTGGCGCACGCATGTAATTCCAGCACTTTGGGAGGCTGAGGCAGGCGGATTGCCTGAGGTCAGGAGTTCGAGACCAATCTGGTCAACATGGTGAAACCCCATCTCTACTAAAAATACAAAAAAATTAGCCGGGCCAGGTGGCATGCGCCTGTAATCCCAGCTGCTTGGGAGGCTGAGGCAGGGGAATTGCTTGAACCAGGGAGGTTGCAGTGAGCCAAGATCGCAGCACTGTGCTCCATCCTGGGTGACAGTGAGACTGTCTCAAAAACAAACAAAAAACAATTCACGTATCATAAAGCTCACTTGTTTTAAGTCTATGGCTCCATGAGTTTTCATACATTTATACAGTGGTGCCACCATTGCCACAATCCTGTTTTGGAACGCTTCTGTTCCTCCAAAAGTTCCCTGTAGCCCATTTGCTCTCAGTCCCCATTCCTGCCCCCCACCCTAGGCAACCCCCAATCTGCTGTCTCACAGTTTTTCCTTTTCCTAGGAAATTCCTGTAAATGGAATCTTTTATATGATGAGTAAATCATAATAAATCAAATAAAGTACGCACGTTTTGGTGTTAGGCTTCTTTCACCCAGCACAATGTTTTTGTTTGTTTGTTTGTTTTGTTTTGTTTTTTTGAGACGGAGTCTCGCTCTGTGGCCCAGGCTGGAGTGCAGTGACCGGATCTCCGCTCACTGCAAGCTCCGCCTCCCAGGTTCACGCCATTCTCTTGCCTCAGCCTCTGGAGTAGCTGGGACTACAGGCGTCTGCCACTTCGCCCGGCTAGTTTTTTATATTTTTTGGTAGAGACGGGGTTTCACCGTGTTAGCCAAGATGGTCTGGATCTCCTGACCTCGTGATCTGCCTGTCTCGGCCTCCCAAAGTGCTGGGATTACAGGCTTGAGCCACCGCGCCCGGCCTCAGCACAATGTTTTGACCTTCATCCATGTTGATCTGGTTATTAATAGTTTGTTCCTTTTTATTCCATTGTATGGATGTATGACTGTTTGTTTACCCATTCACCTTGATGGACATTTAGGTTGATTCCAGTTTGGGGCTACTATGATTTATGCTGCTATGAACTTTTTTTTTTTTTTTTTTGAGACAGGGTCTTGCTCTGTCGCGTAGGCTGGAGTGCAGTGGCACAATCTTAGCTCACTGCAGCCTTGACTTTCTGTGCTCAAGTGATCCTCCCACCTCAGCCTCCTGAGTAGCTGGGACCACAGGTGTGAGCCACTGCACCCAGCTAATTAAAAAAAATTTTTTTTTGTAGCAGTGGGGTCTCTCTATATTGCCCAG